TCTTTCATTATCACATCTTAAATAAATATTTTATTAATAAAATCTTCCCATTTGTATGTCTTCTTTTTGTCTCTTTTTTCTGTCATTCATTGAAGGAGACATGTTAAAATTTCCACATTTTTATTTCTGTTTTATTAGTTAATACTATTGGCTATGAATTATAGTTTGATATTAATATAACTTTCCTTTTATATCACTTAGCATGTACTTGAAATGTTTCTACACACTTTTCCTTGCAGTTGGATACACACAGAGGAAAGCGTAACGATCATGGCTCTGTCTTGCTGACTTCTCATAAAGTACACATCACCTGCGTTCCCATTGCTGACACCAGTGAACAGAATGCATCAGTATAATAGAAACCCACAGGGGATTGTATGGGGTTTGATTCATGGAAAGTACATAGTAGGCAGCATTTCCCCCGCCTGGTGCAGGTGACTTGTTCATGCACCGGGTGTAATCTCACCATGGTGAGTGACATGGGAAGGTCCCTTGAACTTGAATCTGTGAATGAAAATCTCTTTTCCTCAGGATAACTGGTACATTTTCCACTGCATACAGATTACAAAGAATGAAGCCTTATTGCTGCCAGGAGGAGTGAACTACCTTGAGAATGAAATCTACTCCAGGAAAGGGGTGGTGAGAAATAGACGAAGGTAACCCGCATTCAGGCCACATCATCCCATCTCGACAAAGCCAAGTATGCAGACTTGTTTATCTCTTCACTCTGCCAGGACTGAGCTAATGGCCTATTCATTGCTCAATCCAGTTTGGCCTGATCCCCAAGTCCCATTCGCACATGTATTCCATGAGATTAATGATGATGTTATGCTTATTTTATAAGGAACGTAATAGAATCAGGGGAGCTAAATGACTTACTCAAATCATACGAACTAGTCCAGATCTTTTGACCTAGATTAAAATTTCCATCCATGTAAACAATTGTAATGACACTTTTCTCGAAAATTATCAGTGCCCTTATGGTTTTTCTAGAAATGATCAAATATTCATGGAGGGGTGGGGCATCTAGGCTTCCTACAAAGCTTCAGTAGATTTTCCCTAATTTGTTTGTGGACACTGTCCTAACTGTGCATCTCATCTAACCATATTCTGTACCTCCAGCTCACCTGCATTTGCTTACACCCTCACCCTCACCCCACCACCCTCTTCTCTCCCCATTTACAAACTTTATTCAGCCTCTTCTTCTACCCACTATTGGGAGTTGTCACGGTGAAATTGAGTCTCTTGTGTGAAGAGGCATTTCCCTACAGGAACATGAAGGAGAGGTGGCTCCAGGTTCGTGCTCTTGAGCTTTCTCACCAGAGAGGCCAAGTGCAAGTCTCTTTAGTTATCCTGGGAGATCATTGTTTATGAAGTGATTCCACATTCTCCAGGGTGGGACTCTTTAGGACATACTATTCAATGACATATAATGTTCTGGAATCAGTGCACTAAATCACTGAGTTGTATACACGAGAAGGTGGCTCTGGTTTGGGGTAAAATTTATGATTCAGTAGTGTGAAATTAAAGAGACAGAGTCAGTAGGTAAGGAAGTGAAGCTTCTGCTTGTGTGCTTGATGTTGGATTTTCCATGCACATTTCTTCTCCCTGATAGCTAGAGATGCTGTTGGAGGGATTTCTCTGTGCTCAGGAATCATCAGACACAGCAGCAAAATTTAAATCAGTAGCTGTTAGTTTTGATGCTATTCAAATTGTTCTCCTCTTCCTTTTAGAGAAGAGTTCAGGCAATAATTAGGGGTAGAAGTACTTTGGGTGAACTAATCATCAAATCTTATACGTTTGCAACTGGAAGGGAATTTGGTGAGTAAGTATAATTCTCACCTTTTTCAATGGCAAGGATGAAACCTACAGAGGGGAGTGATCGGTGAGTTATCAGAGGCAGCATAAGGGTCTTCAAAGGTACAAAGAAAACGTGGAGTATCTGTGCTCAGTGGCTCTTTACCACTCACAACCATTCTGTTCCATAACATGCTTATGGTCAGTCCTACAAGGTTTTCTACTTTGTTTATAAGATACCCTAAGTTTCTAATAAAAAAAAATAAACCATCCACTTTTAAATATTTGCAAATGAATGCATGTTATACTTTTCTCCTATTTAGAGATTTTTTTTTTAAATTAGAAATAGGATTTTTTATTTGTCCCCATTAAATGTCTGAATTTTAAACAGATTCTTGGACTGGGGGCTCACATCCATCAGCTTGTTCAATTTTAGCCCCTGTCTCATCCCCAGTAGCTTTTCCAGGACTGCTACCTACACCATAAAGCTCCATGAGTTTTCCCAGTTCAAACTTGGGCTTCTTCAACATTTTGACTTTACCAACAAAGACATCATAAAGCATCGGAAAAATTGAGTGGTGAGCCTTTTCTATGTCTTTTCCAATAATGCCTGGAATCAATTTATTCATGAATTCTTTCAAGTCATTTGTCTGCACCTCCTGGGTCATGATTTCCATCTTCTTCTGGATTGGGCGGACCTGTTGATGCTGAGCAGAGGAGGTCTTCAGAATCTGATTGCTGTGTTTTTTCATAAAACCAACACTGAACACTGGAAGCAAATGCCATCAGTAGTCTATATATCAACATGGGCTTAAATCGTGGTCTACCATTATTTGATCATGAAGCACCTTTTGTCACAGGTATAATCCATGCCATAGAAATTAGGCAGTCTTTACCCTGAACATCCTCAGTAATAAGCTTGAATTTTCTAAATGCAACGTCATCATTCTGCAGATCAGCTAATCTCACTTCAAAAACACTACCTTTGATATAATCGGATGCGATTTTGTTTCCTTGAGTTCCAGTGCCTGGTGTTTTCTGATATTTCTCACATTGAACACAGCGGGTGCTTTCACATCACACCCATCTTTCTTAGGACTGAGTCATCCACTCTCTGCTTGGCTCCCTTTTTGTCGCCTTTGTCAGGCACTTGTTCTTGCTCACCGCCCTGGTGCTGCTCAGGGAGCCGAAAAGGCTTTAAATGTTTCATCATGCGACTACATTTTACTAATTTCAGGTGAGTTTTCGATATCCAAATTATAATTATTATGGTTAATGGGTGATTATGGTGAACCACCGAAGCAAATCAAGTTGCCTTCTGTCTGCTAATATGCTACTGATCTGCACTCAAGACAATATTAAATGACTTCAGCTTACTTTGTCCTTACTGAGTTCCCCTGGGTTTCTCACCTCCCACAAGTGTATCTGCTGGTTTTCAAATCATCACATAAAGGACAGTAGGCCTTCTTGTAATAATAAGGTGTCATCCAATATCCCCCACCTGAGCAAGTCACCCGTCCTTTTGCCTTTGTCCTTCCACCTACTATAACTTCCACTGATGACATCCCATGATTACAGTTGTACACTCTCCCTCCCCATTAAAACTAATCTGACTCTCATTGAAATGTCTAAGGCACTTTTTAATATTTCTGCTTCCCAAAAGTTTTGTGAGGTGGTTTCACTCTTAAAAAGACACTTGCCCTGGCCAGTTTTGCTCAGCAGTTAGAGCTCAGTCTGTGGTCCAGAGAGACCCGGGTTCGGTTTCTGCTAAGGGTATGTACCTCAGTCACAGTTTGTCCCTGGCCCCAGTTGGGTTTGTGTGACAGGCAGCCACTCGATGTGTCCCTTTCACATCGATGTTTCTCTCTCTCTCTCTCTCTCTTCCTCTCTCTCCCTCCCACTCTACCTGAACAAAAATAGAAAAATGTCCTTGGGTTGGGGGGGTGGGAAAGACACTTTATTCCTTAAAGTTATCATGGATTTTCCTTAATTTTTAAAAATTCCTTATTCATCAAACATGGGTTTAGCATTTATGACAGGCTAGGCACTGTTTAGATGTTGTGAATATAGCAAAGAACAACAACAACAATTTTGAATTCTGGACTCTACATTTTTGAGGGATTTAGATTTCAATATATATTAAACATACATTATATATAATATATTGTGTAATATATTATATAGATAAAATTTGCCTGTTTGTATGATAATGTTAGTCGGTGATAATGGAGAAAATAGAGCAAGGGGTAATGGGAGGAGCTAGAGTGAAGTGAGAAGAGGCTGGAATGCTAGTTCACGTAGTGTTTCCAGTTCTCTGCTGAGGTGTAGGATCAAATGTGTGCCTGAGATTACTGAGCCTCGGAAACATTAGTAGCTTAATCTGTTTTTGTTGAATCATTAATGATGAAATGAACCTCTTTATGGGAAGGCGAATAGGAGGAGAGGAAAAAAGAGAGGGAGAGAGGAGAAACATTTAAATTCATTTCAGAATGACCAAATTTGGACTTTTCTTAAGTCATCCTGGTCACAAGTATGAGTCATAGAGTACTGGCTCTTAAAATTACCCATGCGGGCCAATCTTACTGTAATTGGCCATGACCAGTCTATGCATAACTTCATAAGCCTGAAGTCAATTCACATTATTTACAGATCCCTTAAGATAGATGTATCTGAAATATAACCCTCTTTGTGTGTTTCTGCAGCATTTTCATATTTAACCAAGTCATGTATATGTACTTTGAACATAGTTATTATAACTACGAAACAACTTTGCTACACCTTTAAATTATTAAATTTTTATAAAAATTTTGTCGGTATCTTATGTTCCTATTTGTCTACTTTTTAATACTTTATTTTTTGTATTCTTAAATTTTATATTACTTAAAATTCAGAAAAATAAATGGTACTGAGAACAGTGGCATTGTAATGGACTTAAATTATAAAACATTTATGTTAAAACTATGTTTAATTTTTAAACTACATAATGTAAAAGTTGCTAAAGAACTTTGATGTATTTTGTACTTTACAGATAAGGTTTCTGAGCCAGATTCTCCACTTCCTTATTTTTATTGGAAAGATTCATTAATCTGAGTAATTGGCCCCTCTCCAAAATTGCCAAACTGAATTCCTGTCAGCATGAGATACTTTTGATATCATCTGCCAAGAATATGTGGGGTGAACACGGGCACAGACTCAGCTATTGGATGGTAACTTCATTACTCATAAACTGTCTCTAGAGAAACAGTATACACTCCCCTACCAAAATGAAAAGTCAAAACCAAAGTTCTGTGGTTGAGTTCATCCTCTTGGGCTTTTCAAATTTTCCTGAACTCCAAGAGCAGCTCTTTGGGGTTTTCTTGACTATGTATCTGGTGACCCTGGTAGGAAATGCCATCATCATAGTCATCATCTGCCTGGAACAGAGCCTCCAAGTTCCCATGTACTTGTTCCTCCAGAACCTGTCTGCGGTGGACGTGAGTCTCAGTGCAGCCATCATGCCGCAGATGCTGGTGGTTCTCTCCACTGAGAAAACACCGATTTCATTTGTGAGATGCTTTGTGCAGATGTATTTTATTATGTTTTTTGGTGGGACTGAATGCTTTCTCCTTGTGGCAATGGAATATGACAGATTTGCTGCAATCTGTCAACCTCTGAGGTACCCAATGATTATGAACAAAAGGGTTTTCTTGAAATTAGTTACCTTCTCATGGGCCTTTGGTTTTGTCCTAGGTACTGTGCAAGCATTGTGGGTGTCTAGTTTTCCCTTTTGTGGTCCCCGTGAAATCAATCATATCTCTTGTGAAACTCCCCCAGTTCTAGAGCTCACATGTGCAGACACCTTTCTGTTTGAAATGTACTCATTCACTGGCACCATTTTGATGATCATTTGTCCTTTCTTGTCGATACTCTTGTCTTACATTCGAATCCTCTTTGCCATCCTGAAGATGCCATCAAGCACTGGGAGGCAAAAGGCCTTTTCCACCCGTGCCTCCCATCTTACGTCCGTGACCCTCTTCTATGGCACAGCCAGCCTGACTTATCTACAACCCAGATCTGGCTACTCTCCAGAAACCAAGAAGCTGATGTCATTGGCTTACTCACTTCTTACACCTCTGCTGAATCCACTGATCTACACCTTGCGAAACAGTGAGATGAAAAGAGCTTTGATGAAATTCTGCCGAAGAAAAGTGGATTTGCACACATTCTGACAGCTGGGAAGCCTCGTGATAATTGGTCATTGCTTGACTGAACTCTATTTTAATGTAATAAATGGCCAAACATTCTGTATTCCTTGGTGTGAATATGCTTAATTGGTTGAGTTTTTGAAGTTCAATAATATATTAGGGCTCCTTCCCTAATATATTAATAATGTACTATTGTCATTTATTTTCATAGATATATGTGTTCATAATGTATAATACAATTATTTATTTATCAGTTCTTCTAGAATGATCATCCAGGTCATTACTGAATTATTGTCATTAAGACAAAGCTTCAATAAACACCTAGTTTCATATATTCTTACGAACTGATGTTTTATTTCTGCATGATAGACTCCTCACAGTTTACCTGATGGGATGCCGTAGGCATGTCTATAAATTTTAACAGCTGTTGGAGGATTACTTTTCAAGATGATCGTAACACCTTCAGATGGACCTGAATGCCCGCCCACTCGGCTGTACTGAGAGGGTCAAGTTCCAAGAGACCAACAAATAGATGAGAGTTTTATTTCTGGCGTGAAAACCTGTTCCATGAATGACTAAGAAAGTAGAGTTATTTTGGGGAAACCAAACTGGTTCTACTTCCTGAACTTGCACAGATTATTATTCCAGATATTCATTAGAATGTTGGTGACCAGAGAACTACATGGGAACCTCCCTGAAGTCTCACTCGGTAGTTTTAGGATCTTTTTCAGTTATAGACCACTGTTTGTAAAGACTTTTGTTAAATTTCCCTTTGTTGGCCCCCAGGTCTTTTAGTACTTTGTTTATAAACAAACGATGATTCATTTATTATCATGGAAAACTAAGTGATTAAGTATCTACATGCTTGAGTCACATCCTTAACTATCACATGGAGAGAAAGGGATAATACTTTCTCATCTAGCAACATGTGAAACACTTAACGTTTGCCTCCTATTTTAATGCTGTTCGTCATAAGCAGAGCAGCGTCCCTTCGTTGAATCTATAACACATGAGCTCCTATTGCTCTTAATTTCTGCTCTAGGGATGATAACCAAGAAGTAAAACACTATTCCCATTGTCCTTCCGCTGTGGGAAAACAGTCTTTTAGTTACTACTGCCTCTGCCAAATATGAGAAGCAGAGATGAAAAACTGATTGTATTTTCACGAAAGGAAATTTTGTCATCAAATGATTGAAACCAGTTTGAGTAATATTTGAATGTTGTATAATGTGTACAGTAGGGATTAAACAGGCATTTGGAAGGCCTTCAATCAGATTATGTCTCTTGTTATGCTGAAATTTTCTTCTCTTAGCCCTTAAAGGGTTCAATTAAATAGGGCCATTCAAGGGAAAGAAATCTCCCAAAGCCTAATCCCCAAGACAAATATACAACTTCATTTTGAATTTTGTTCTTTTTATTTGTTTGCTTATTCATTCATTGATTTTGTTAGGAGTGACTCAGTTTGACTGTCCCTGGGGAAATACAGTCTGTGTCCTTGAGGAATTCAAAGTTTATTGAAAGATCACTGATTTTGGGAGCTCACAGAAGCCAGCCACACCGTATCATATGTCTCCACCCTAGGTGAGGAATAGAGGTTGAATGTTCAAGGGAAATATTCAAGGTTTGGTTGCATATGTGATGATTTCAAAATCACAATGGTTCTCCATTTAGTTATGATTTTGACAAAACAGCCAGTCCAGAAGGACCCTGTTATGATTCTACTGTAAATAGCAGCAATGCTGACAATACCAGTTTTACCCTCATGGTTGCTAATAGGACTGATCCTTGAAATCATGCTTTCCTGGCTTTGAAGTTGACACCAAGATTTCAAACCATAAAAGTAGAGTAAACTTTCAAAATATAAAACTTAAAATGTCTCCCTTTGCTGAAAGCATGTCAAAAACATGCCTTTCTCTCATTTGAAATGTTTTTTCAGCTAATTAATTTTCTTTATGTTTTCCTTTTATTGAGTTTTTATTTTTAGAGAGAGAGGAAGAGAGAGGGAGAGAGAAATAGAAATGTGATGAGAGAGAACATCGATTGGCCGCCTCCTGCACGCCCCCCCTGGGAACCAGCGTTCTCTTGGTGCATGGGTTGGTGGTCAACTACTGAGCCACTGGCCTGGCTAATTCTTTCTTTATTTAAAATTGTTTTAAAATTGAACTTATTGGAGCATCATTGGTTCAAAAAACCACACAAGTTTCAAGTGTACAATTTGGAAAATCATCCTCCGCACACTGCAAAGTGCTGCTTGTTTAGACCTTAAAGTGTGCTTTCTTAAGGCAACCATTTTTGACTCTCTATTCTTCATCTTCTCCCAAATTATTCTCCCTCTGAACACTTCGTCTTTTCCTCAGAGCCCCTTATTAAGTGTTATTTCTTGCAGGAGTTGCATGGTTGATATTTGACAGGTCCAGGCTGCTTTGTGTTTGTCTCCATTCTCCTTATCAGGCCCAGCCTCTTCCAGGGTGGGATTTATTGTGATTTAACCCTATGTATAGGCCTGGTGTCCAGGAGAGAATGTGAAGGTTCTTAGTGTGCTACCTTTAATATTATTATCCTGCTGCTAATGGGAGGGACTGGCCACTTCTGCAGTTTCAGAAGGTTCAGAGATGTCTTGGGAGTGAAAATCACTGGGGACATCCATCCAGATTTGCCATCTCGTGTCGAGTCTTCAGATTTTTCCAACTCTTGTTTCAGTTGGGCATCATAGAACCTCTTCAACTGAGCACTGAACTATCTTCGAAGTTAAGCCATTCGGATGATTAAACCTTGGACTGGATCCTCTGCTTGGCCATTGCAAGTGATGAGGGTGCTTGTGAACAACTGAAATGTTCTTTGGCTCTCAAACTTTGTTTTCAGTGGTTTGTTGATTGCACTCAGCTATTTGTGTGTCTTTTGCAGGGATCATTGCAATATCGTAACAACTATATAATTCTATTATCCTTTGATTTATCAATCTTCATCCCCTCCAATGTTTGGATGCTTGAATTGTTGTACTGGCCAGTACATTTCCTGCCACAGTTACATATTTCCAAGTCACCATTTCTGAAAGCTTTTATTGCTAAACTTGCTGTCCTAGTATATGATCAGATTTTTAAAAAATGTTCTGTATGTGATTGAAAAGGATGTGCTTTCTTTCAAGTTTTTGACACAATGTTCTCCATATGCATACTGGACTAAGTTCTATTGTGAATATTTTCTTTATCCTTACTGATATATTTCTTTCTTCTATCAATTAGGTTAAAAGGCATGTTACAGTCTTAAGTTTTCTTGTGATTCTGTCAATAATTGCTGAATATATTTTGCAGCCATATTAATGGATATTCTTCGGTTTAGAATTATTATAACTTCTTGGAGAATAGAACCTTTTCTCATTATGAAGTGACTCTCTTTATCTTTAGTAATGTTTGTTGCTTCATAGTTTGCTTTTTTCCTGATAATAATACAGTTACATAAATTTTCTTTTATATAGCTATCTTATTTTGGAATATCTTGTTATTTTTAACCTTTCCATATCCTTATGATTTAGCTGTTTCTACACCGAGGAGCGCTGTGAAGGAAAAAATAAACCGGAATAGCAGCATTGTGGTTGGGATTCCACTTTAAAGAGGTTGATTTGGGAAGATCTCATGGAGAAGATGCCACTTGGGCAAAGGGACGTAAGAGAGTTAGTTAGCATTTTAGTGCATGTTCAGGGAAACACAAAGGCAGGAGCTCTGAGATGAGAACATGGCCAGAGGATTTGAGAAATAGCAAGGAAGCTGCATGGCTGAGTAGGACTGAACAAGGACTGTGCCAAGGATGACTCCAGAGAACCCCGAGGGGGAAACAAATCTGTATTGATTGATTGATTGATTGATTGATTGATTGATTGATTTTTAGAGAGACAGGAAGGGAGAAGGAGAGAGAGAGAGAAACATTGATGAGAGAGAACCTGCATCCTCCATGCCCCACACTGGGCATTAGGCCCACAACTTGGACATGTTCCCTGACCAGGAATCGAACCAGGATCCTCCTAGAATATGGGTCGACGCTCAACCACTGAGCCACACAGGTAGGGCAACAGATCTTTATTTTTTAAAAAAAAAATTTTTTAATCCTCATCTGAGGACATTTTTGCATTTATCTTCCTATAGAGTGAGAGGGAGCTAAGGAGGAAGTGAGAGATAAATACATCGAGTGGTTGCCACCCACACGACCCCTCCGGGGCCAGGGACAAACTCCAACTGAGGTGAGTGACCTTAGTGGGAACTGAACCATAGACTCTCTGGACCATGTGCTGACACTCTAACCACTGTGAAAACCAGCCATGGAAGGGAAACATATCTTTAATCTCTGTTTTCGAGTTGGGCTTCTACATGGAATGGGATAGGGTACTACTGAAGTATGCTGAGCAGAGGAAAGGGAGGAAGAAAGCAGAAGTTTGGAGACTACGGCAATTATCCAACTGAAAAAAGATAGGTTGGACCAGTGTTAGCTTTGGGAAAAGTGACAATTTTTAACACTGTATTTTGATATGTTATGGGTTAGATATGGTTTGGGAGTAAAAATGGATTCATGGATGACTCTGAGGCCTTTGGCCCCTGTAACTAGAAGCTTGAAGCTACTATTATCTGGCATGAGGAATGCAGAGGGTGGAGCAAGTTTTAGGAAAAGACCAGGAGTTCAGTTTTGGACATATTAATAAATGAATCGTGTTTTACTTAATTACAAATGAATTTATTAGTAGTCTCTATTTCATTTCTGACTTGCTGTTAACATAAGAGATACTTTCAGAGTATTTAAAAAGTTCCAAGACTTTAGTTTTCTTTTCTCTATTTGGTTGTTGTTTTGCAGTTTTATTGCAAAGTATGTTATGTGTATGACTCCCAAGTATTTGGATTTATTAATATTTTCTTTTAACATATACATAGTCAAATTTTATAAATATCCCATGAATATTTTGGGAAGAAAATATAGACTTAGCAGCATAAAACGTATTGTTTCTGATTGATATTTACTCTTTTATTATCACATCTTAAATAAAAATTGTATTAATAAAATCTTCCCATTTGTATG